ATGGGGAAACATGTCGTAAAATCCACAGACCTTATGCAGATTTCACCAGGCCTCTCAGTTTTAAATGCGTGTACCTGAAAGTCACCACTTCCCTCCACTTTGACTGCTACAATTCTTGTCCAAGCTGCCGTAGTGTCTCCTAGGATTGCCATAATAATCCTTCTACTGTTGTCCTTCTCCAATCCATTTCCCACTGAGCACAGCAAGAGGGATCGTCTAAAAACATTATTAGGTAGGTCAAATCCTTTATCACCTCCCTGTCGCCCTTAGAATAAAATGCAGACTTTTCACTGTGACCTGCAGTGCCCCAAGGGACCTGGCTCACGCCTGCCTCTTCAGGGACATCGGGGTGTACCATCTCTTGCCTGGACACCTTGAGCACGCCCTTCCTGTTCCTCTCAGCCTGCATGCACTTCCTGCTGTTCTTGGAAAGGCAGGCTTCTCTTCCAGGTCTCTGCCCCACAGCCCCCTCCTCAGGTTCTCCTGGGTTGTCTTAACTAAAGTGTCCCCTTATCACCTCCTACATGGAGATGATCTCAGTCTATACTCATCAGACTTACTCATTGGTTTACTTAATGTCCATCCTCTGTAGACAGTGTTGGTTTTGTGGGTAGGAACTTGTCTGTCTCGTTCACTATTCTGTTCCCATCATCCCGCCAGGGAATTACACTTTCTGGCGTGGAGTGTGCACTTAGTGAATGTGTGAATGAATACTGACTGGGTCAGGGCTCCTGATGATGAGCCCAGGTGCTCAGGGAGCTGTTATAACAACCAGCCATGGTGAGTTGCCCTAGAAGAGAGGCAAAGGCCTGTCCTCAGACTGAACCCACAATAGCTTCCCCTCTCTCTTCCCATGTTTTTCAGGATATAGAAGAAATAAAATAACGTTTCTTTCTTTGTAATCAGCTTATAAAATCGTAGAGCCTGCTTTTTGTGCTAACTCCTACTCATGACTCCTCCTCTGGGAAGCCCTTTAGCCTGGCTACTTATGTATTCCCATGGTACCTTAGAGAGGTCTAATTGACATTTAACGAAATTCGCCCATTTTCAATATGTAGTTTGATGAGTTTTGACCCAGCAAACATGCATTCATGTAAGCATTCCAGAAAGTTCCCTTGTGCCTAGGCTGCTGCTGCTTTTTATTTATTTATTTAAAAGATTTTATTTATTTATTTGACAGAGAGAGACACAGTGAGAGAGGGAACACAAGCAGGGGGAGTGGGAGAGGGAGAAGCAGGCTTCCCACTGAGCAGGGAGCCTGACACAGGACTCGATCCCAGGACCCCAGGATCATGACCTGAGCCGAAGGCAGACGCTTAACAACTGAGCCACCCAGGCGCCCCTAGTTCTTTGCTTCTTACTGGACTGTAGATTTCCTCAGCCAGAGGCTGTGTCTTACCTCTTGGCCCAGAGCCAGGTCTTTAATGTTTTTATACAAATAAATGAGTCCAGCCCAACCATGTGATTTGGAACAGTAGAGAAGTGAGGCATTGAAGAGTGAAGTGACCAGGGTCATCCGGTCCTGGCTCCCACTGAATTCAGGAAACTGCTTTCCTGCAGACTGGGCAGGTGGCCTCCACTGACCATGCCCACTGCTGGGCGCTGCCCACCATCCAGGGCCCCTTCTGGCTGTGGAGCCACACTCGGCCTCCATGGAACTCTTCCACTGGTCCCATGTTGCCCCCCTACACCGTGTGTCTACTTTCCACACCTTTCCTCCAGGCAATGATGTCTCCTGGGAGTCTTCATAGGACATGCTCCTCTCTGAGGGGTCGGGGGGAGCATTCGGAGCCTGAGTCTCCTGAAGCTGAGAGCCCTGGGCAGGAAGGCAATGCCACCTTTGTCCTGGGCTGTGTGGGAGAGAGCTGATGACCCCCACCCATGCTTTGCCAGGACTCTGAAGGGATCCAGCTCCAACATTTCCTCTTCACCTGAGGTGGCTGCTTTCTCCTGTAAAGACAGACATGCCCTTCACAGCATGGAAGCTACAAACACTGGGAGGAGGCTGGAAGATGCAGATCACAGGTCCCCTGGACACCATATAGATTTATTGGTTGGCCAGTGAAAGAGTCCCTGTGTTCTCCTCATGATGACCTCCTTGCCCTTCCCGAGGGAGTCCCTAGATGTTGGAGAGACCCTTGCACTGTGTCCTTTGCAGCTAGTCCTCTGTCTGCATGGATGATCCAGTCAGAAATGGTGGTGTAGAAAGGGGCTCTGTTGCTATCAGCCAAGAAGAATTCCATGCCCCAAGGTAGGGACCGAGATTGCTGAAGGGGACATGGGAGGGGGGTGAGGAGGAGTGGGGGATAGGTTGATGGGTTGGGGCCTGGGGCATGTGTGCAGGAACCAGGACAGGCCCCAGCCCTCTTCAGAATTAGCCATGTCACTGTGGCAATCCTGCAGCCTCTATAAGACCTCCTGACTTGCTCGGAGAGGACCAGATGGCTGTTGTGGCCTGCCTCTGAGAGCCCACAGCATGTTTTTTCTTGACTTACATGGTGAGGCCTAATGGCCCAGACTTTAAGATGTAGGGCGCCTGCCCCCGCCCATTCCCCCCTTCTCTTTTCCTGCCTTCCTAGAGCCCCTGGTTCTCTGATGGCCTCTCTGTGGCTTCTTAAGCTAGCCCCACCCGATGCAGGCCTCAGGTTCTCCTCCCCCAGGTGTGGCTGCAGCACCATCTCCCAGGACCCTCCCTCCGTAGAGTGTGGCTGCTAAACTCCAGGGGAACCACACCCCAGGGTATGACAAAGGCCCCATAGGAGGCTCTACACAGTGGTATTCTCAGAGTTGAGGCTTCACACATGGCTTCCCAATTCCTTCCAGAAGCTCCTTCCAGCTTTAACTCTTACTACCCCAAGGGTGGCATTCAAACTCCCTTCCCCCACAAAGGCTCTTTTTATTTTCTTGGCGTGGCACTCGAAGCTCCAAGCCGGGCAGAACAAGAGGAGCCTGTGTCCCCTGGTGTTCTCTGGAGACCCCAGGCTGGCTGCGCCATGCTGAGTGGTGTGGGCCTCATGGTTGGTGATCCAGGCAGCTCCCTCTCCAACTTGCAGGCTTCTCTTGCCATCTTTGGGTGTGGTCACCGCACGGCCACTGGCAGGGCACGGGCATTGATAGGCGGTGTCAGGGAAAGTGGGGGCCAGTGGCATGAATTTAGACCCTGGGCCTTGAAGTAAGTGCTCAGAATCAGCCTACATTGTGGGGAATACCAAATGAGTAAGCCTCTGGATAGTCTCCACCCCCTTCTCCCACATTTCCTGGCAAAGCCGGTTGGTTAGGCTTTCTGGGGGGCCCTGGGACCACCCTGTGGTCCCATTCTAGCTCCCAGCACCCCCAGGATGACTGCATGTTCACATGCTACTCATTGACTTTTAGGGGAGGGAGCCAGGCCCAGACTGCCCCTCCCCCACCCCCACCCCCAGTCCTGGATATAGGCGTGTGTCGGATTTAAGAAGAGATGCTTGTCCTAACATCTTGATGATGTGGGCTGCCACTGTGCCACCTCCCATGCTTCCTCTCGGTGCCCCAGTACCTCCCCTCTCTCTAGCGGATGTCACTTGAGGGGGCATTTCTGAGAACAACCAGATCCAAGAAGAAAAAGCAGACTCTACCCCGTAGCACTTGTTAGCCTGTTGGGCCATGTGGCTTGGCCCACATATGGGCAGGTTTGTCTGTCGTTCCTGCCAGGTGAGTCAGCAGAGATGGAACATTCATTTACTGGGGCAAATGTACCATGTTAGAATGGTTCTGAAGGGTCCAGCACACAAAAGTCCAATCTGCCCCCCCAATCCCCCAGGTCCCCGAGAAACCAGACCCAGGGGCAGCAGGGGAGGGGAAGGGCTGATGAAAGCAGGGAAGAGGGAGAGTTCAAGGTGGCAGTTCGGAGCTCCTAGATGCGCTGCTAGGGGAAGGGAGGCGGGCCTGGGGACAGACGGAGGAGCAAAGCAGAGGAAGGCAGGGAGGCATTCTCCAGAGGCTTGGTTTTATTGTGCAGTTCTCTTTGTCCTCACTGACACTATGAGCTGTGGTGCACTATACAGTCACAGGACAGGGTACAGCTGCCGGGATGGGGGTGGGGAGCTGGATGTTGGGAAAAGCCATCTGTCAAGGCATGTCCTGCCTACAGGTCTCACTCCACGGGCTGCCTCAGACCCCCTCCAATCCCCCAGGTCCCCGAGAAGCCAGACCTGTGTGTGGGGGGCAGAGGGCTGTTGGAAGGCTCAGCCGCCAGCCGGCAGGGAAAGAAGAGCCTCCCAAACACTTGGGCCAAACTCTCCTCTGCTCTGGGACTCCACCTGGCCTGGCTTACTGCCTCCAGGTCAGGGATCTGGAAGCTCATAGGAGCTTGGGACAGGCTGGGAGGAGGCTGGTCCTCTGCCACCCTCTCAACTGCTGGCTGAGGCAGTGAGGGACAGTAGGCTCTTAATTTTATTTTCATCAGGTAGAGAGGGATGATGGGCCCTCTCTTCTACCCCATCTCCAGCCCTCCATTAGCACTGCTCCCAGGCAGAATCTGCATTTTCACTGGGCCACGCCAGGCCCAAGGCCCCTAGGGAACCTCTGCAGTGGTAAAAGGACTGCTTCTTGCTGTGGCAGAGAATGCTCCTGGAGACGTTCAGTTCTTTCCTCTTGTGATGGGCCACAAATACTTGGCAGTGCCCTCACATCCGGGGTCTTCGGGCACCATCCCCGCCTGCTGAGGGATGTGCCAAGCCCAGATGCCCCTCCTCTTCCTCCAAGTCTCTCCCAGGCCGCTGGTCCTGGTGGGCAAGGATGACCGCCCCTTGCCCCCCTAGGACTCGGACCCCTCTATCTTTCTACCCCTCCCATGCCCTCACTCTCCATCACGTCCCCAACCCTGGCTTCCCTTTTCACAAATTCCCAAAGAAAAGGAAGGATAAACCAGACAGAAGCAACTCTGGCACCAAGAGTACCAAAAAAAAAAAAAAGGCAGCCAGTGGCGTGCAGAGAGGGTGTGAGGTGGCATGGGGGCGGAGGGGTGGGTAGGTGATGCATGCGGCAGTGGGATTCCTTATGAGGGGCGGGGTCCCCATTGCTCCTTGAGATGTGTGAGGGATGCGGGGAGGGCCTCAGCAACTCGTCTCTGGACTGGGCAATCACAGGGAGATGAAGTCCATGGCCTGCAGGAGAGGCAGGGAGAGCAGGAGCATCAGCAGCCCCGACGTGTTCTGGGCCAGCAGGCTTATGCCCTCACACTTGACCAGTTTGTCTGTGGAGAGAGAAGGGGGGGGAGGGACAGGGCAGGAATGAAGAGGGACTGGGATTCAGGCAGGCCCAGGCCCGGAGCTGGGGCCCATTCCCTCGGGCAGGCTGGTGTCACGATGTCTTAGCTGGAACCAGGGCCAGTCTGCTCTAGGAGAACCAACTATTTTTCCCATTTGCAGGTTCCTGAGCTCTTGAACAAACATCATATTAAACCTTTTATCGAGCATCTTCAAAAGGAAACTGTGGGTGAGGTAGCTAGTGTCATCCCTGTCTTCTGGGGGGGGGAGTGGAGGAGGATTGGGGAGGCCAGGTGATCTGCCAAGTCATGGTAGAAGCGTCTGCGACACCGTTGCACCTGTCTCACTGTCCCCCCAACCTGTCCCCCCATACACACAGTAGGCAGTGGTTCCCCAGGGCGCCAGGCAGCAGCTGCTGGGCGGGGGGAGGGAGAGAGAGGTTCTGGGGCTCCTCTTGTCTCTGGCCAGCCAAGAGGACTGCCTGCTGTCCTAGCCAACCCTCTCCTCCCTAGCCTCCCTCTCCCAGCTCACTTGGCCTTGGGAGCTTGCCTCACCTCTGAGCACAGAGACAGTCTCGCTGGAGGTGACGGGAGGCTGGCCAGAGAGCCGGAGTTCACATGTGTACGTCCCCTCGTCCTTCGTGGTGAAGCTGGATAAGTAGAGGACCTTGATGTTGTACTTGCTGGTGAAGTTGGTTCGGGAGCGGTATGAGTGCTCAGGCACCCCCATAGTGCCATAGAGCACGTGCTTCTTTTTCTCCCGGGTCAGGCTGAACTCATACTGGATGGGCGAGGTAGTAGTATTCTCGTGGCGGCAGTCCAGACGAAGGCTCTGATCCACCAGGCAGGCTGTCAGGCTGGTCACTTTCTGCCCACGGGCTCCCTGCAAGACTGGCACCAGTGGTGCCCACTCCCGAGTTGGGGGGGGGAGCCTGCAGAGCAGGGGGCCTCCCACCCACAGTAATAGGAGAGAATGGCCTGGCCAGGGAGGGCACAAGGGTCTGCTCTTTGGACCCCTCTCCCCACCCCAGAGGTCCCTGGGGGCCACTTCCACTTTTGTGCTGCAGACCCAGCCTCCTTCCCTCATCTTCTTTAGTCTTGGGCATTCCTGGGGGGGGGCAGGAGATCTTGGGGAGTTGATGTAGTCTCCTGGTTCCCATTTGGAGATTCCAGCTCAGTATGGGGCAGACTCAGTGGACTGTTTTTTCCAAAAACCGCCTCAGGCAGCCGGAAGATGAACTAGGTTACTCAGCAGATTTAGGGATGAAAAAGAGCCCTCTCTCCCTCAACCACCTCCCCCTTCTGAGGTTGGGAGGTAGAAGCTAGCTTCTCTGAAGGGAAGGAAGCCAAGGTGCTTGGAATCCCAGCCCTGCCCCTTGACCAGTACCTGTCAACAAAAGAGCGAAGCCGATGGTGGGGTTCATGGTGCCCGAAGCTCAGTCCTTGATCTGGGGGTGCGACAGTATAGGAATCAGCCAGGAGATGGGGCAGGTGGACCCACACTTACTGCTAGGGCTGGGGGCCTCTGGGACACATGGCCATGGCAGGCATGCAGGCTTCTCTCAGCAGTGCTCCCCTCCCACTTCCGAGTGAACGTGACACTGCCACTTGGTGCTTCCCCCCCTTGGGGAGAGTAAGGGGAGGGAGAGCACACCGTATGATGGTGTGTCTCTGTGTGGAAAACTTGGAATAAAGTGATTTTGACCATTTCCTTTTTCCTTCAGGAAGGCAGGGACATCCTATTTCCTAATTGTGGCAAAGTAGAGCTAGTGTGAAATTTACTACCTTAATCATTTTTTAAAAAGATTTGTCTATTTTAGAGAGAGAGAGAGCACGTGTGCAAGGGAGGGGGGAGGAGCAGAGGGAGAGGGAGGGGGAATGAGTCTCAAGCAGATCTGTGCCCCCTGCCTAGTGTGACCCAGGGCTTGATCTCAGGACGCTGAGATCACGACCTGAGCTGAAACTAGGAGTCAGTGCCTTAACTGACTGCTCCACCCAGGTGCCCGTCTTAATCATTTTTAAGTGTACAATTCAGTGGTGTTATATTCACTCACATCGTTGTGCAGGCAATCTCCAGAACTCTTTTTATCTTGCAACACTAAAACTCTACCCAGATCTCCCCATTCGGGTAATTTTCTGTTTCTTCTTCAGAAGAAAATCCCTAATGCCCAAACAGTTCCTGGCATATGATAGATGCTCAAAAGATCCTGAATGAATGAATGAAGAAAGGAACTTTAGATACCCACAGGGTTGTGATGGGGATTAAGAAGAATGACAAACATCTGCGACTAGGACTGCTCCATAGTGAGTGACCCCTAAATGTTAATTCCCCTCTTCTATCTAGAAAGGGCTGTGTGGCTAAGGTGCTTCCAGATGGGCCCGTAGTTGGCACACAGCTAAGGCATACAGTGCTCTCTGATTGCATATGTTCTCTGATTGCAGAGGAACCAAGATGTTTCCAAATGTCCAGCTCTCTGGGCAGGCCTCCTGGGCCTGCTGTTTTCCAGTCTGGCTTCAGTAGACTCCCTGCCTAAGCTCTGTGCCCTGCCTTTTTACAAAGCCTAGTCTGGATCAACGTCCTGGTGTCACGGAGCAGGTAGCCTGGCCTGTCCACACTGATGCTGGCCAGGGAGAGGCCACACAGGAGGGGCTTGCGCCTTGGAGGGCCCACGGGGCCCTGATGGGTGTACTGCTGGCTGCATCCAAGGCCCCCTTGGCGCTCTGTCCTGCCGGCCTGGCGAGGCTGGGGTCCTGCAGCACCCTGCAGTCGGTACACTCTTTGGAAATATAACCGAGAGGGCCCCGGGGGTGCTGCTGGGGAAGAGAGGGGGTCGGCATCTGGCTTTGATTCGCACACACTGAGTTTCGGAGGTGCGAGCTCGAGATCTAGGAGGAAAAAGGGGAAGCCTGGGCTAGAACGGGGATGAAATGGGGCTGGGGCTGGAGAGGGATGGAGAGCCAAAGGGACAGTTGGAGAGCGGCAGGGGAGGCACAGATGTTTTCATTTCCTCTGCCTGGTGTCCCCGCAGCCCAGAACCCAGACAAGTTCTGCACTCCCTCCCTCTCCAGTCCCCGCATCCCCCACCCCCGTTCGACGAGCCCCACCCGCATTCCGTTTCCGTATTCCACCCGTCTCCTCTCCCAGTTGAGGTTCCCCTTCCCCCTCTCATCCTTTCCCAGTTCTCCCCTCCCCCGTCTGCCCGCCTTCCAGTCCCCGCCCCGCGGCACTGCGGTTTCCCTGTCCTTTGACGCCCCGCACCCAGCCCGCTGCGAGAGGTCGCAGGGCAGAGATTCCCTCCAGCTCTCGGTCATCCGTTCTCTCCCGCAATGTCACGGACCCCACCCCACGCCTTTGCGAGCTAGGTTTGGGGACGTCTGCGTGGAGAACAGAACCCAAGGCTGTCCTTGGCGCTTTTCGTCCCGCTTCTCCTCCTGCGCCCCAGCCCCAGGCAACCGTCCCCTAAGGGGGTGAAAACCGGGGAGCGCCTTCCACAAAAGGCGGGGTGCGGCACGGCCCCTGACCTGCAGCAGTTGCGTCCCGCTCCCCCCTACCTGGGAAGCAGACCCCCTACCCAAGCACGGCGAGGCTCCTTGCCAGGGCGCCCCCGAACCTTTTCTCGAAGCCTCGGGTTGGAAGGGCTTGCCTGGGCGCTTGGGGCCTCTCCCAGCGCCCCGGGTCCCGCCCTGGCTCCGGATCCCACCTGGGCTCCTGTCCTCCGCTGCTGCAGCCTCCCCCGGATGCGCCGCCGCCTCCAGTGGCAGCACCCTGCCCGCGCCCCGCAGTTTTCACCAGGGGTGGGAGTGGAGGAGCGGGGAGGGCCCGGGGACGCGGCCAATCAGAGACTGGGGGGGTGGGTAGCGAGGAAGGATGGCAGCGGGAGGAGGAAGGAGGAGGCGGTCCGGTATAGATGTGGGAGAGTGGCCGTCTGCCGCAGAAGGCGGACCTCACCCTCTGGCTGGCAGGCCAGGCCAGGGATAGGAGGGCTCAGGGCCCCGAGGATCAGGGTGGGGCAATGCGGGGAACGCTAGTTGCCTTCCAGAACCCCGAAATGATTGCTCCCCATTTTAGGTTTTAACCCTTTCTTCTGACTTAGGCTTCAGAAGCCTGTGGGAATACCAAGGGGTAAGGAGTGGAGGATGCAGGCCAGCAACCCTCTCCTTTGGTCAGTGCCCCGCCTCCTCCCGCCTCCTCCTTTCCTTTTCAGCTGGAGCCCCCCTCCCTGGAGCCTCCAGTGAGAAGTTTTGGAGTTGGAATATTCCAGGCTCTCTCCAAGGGAAGATGGTGGGGTGTTTTTCCACATTGGAGCAGCCCTTCAGAGGCAAGGCAGGCGCTGCATCCCATCCTTCCTGGTCCTGAGCCCTGCCCCACTCCCTCATCCGTACTAGGACACCCGATCCTTCAGGGGCTTTGTGCTCTGGGGCACTCAGTCTCCCTCAGTTCCTGGGCTGGCATCTCCTGGAACAGAGAGCTAGAATGTTCTCGATTTCATATACTCATCCTGACCCCCGCCCCACCTCGACCCTGAGTCGTGTCTGCTTGTTTGGTCTTCAGACAAGAGAAGGAGTACTGTTTTCTACGGAGCACTGCGCCAGGCGCGTTCCATCCATGGCTGTGTTGACCCCACGACAATGTGCTGGGTTCACCCCATCCCACTCCCCATCCTGTTTCGATGGCTAGTAAGTGGGAGAACTGGCCAGTGACCCTGGGCTGTGGAACCCCATGTCCTCAGTGCTGAGGCACTCCACCCTTGCATCCCAGCCCAGTGGGAGGGGACACCGTGGAACTGCGGGGGAAGGGAAGGAGACAGGACCATCTAGAAAGGAATAGAGGAAACCAGGCTCTTAATCTTGTGAGGCACTGCCCCTAGCCCTATCAATTCAATTTCAAGTCACCAGAAGCCTTTGGATCTTTTTTCTTTCTTTCTTTTTTTTTTTCTCATGGCCAGTGCCAATGACTTGTCTCTCCCACCCACAGGTGAAGTGAATTTTTTTAATCGAAGGTTTATTTGTTTGATTTGCATCCTCATGGCCTCTTTGTGAATTCTGGCTGGGACATCCTGTGGGCTGGCCCTACCTCCCTGCCATCTGCCTGCCCATTCTCCTATTTCTTCACAGAAGTCAGCCTGGCACCTTAACTGCAGTTTCCATTACTGCAGTGCTACTGTTAGAAGTCATCCCTGGGCTAGCAAGTGGGAGATTCACTTCCCTCTCCCTCCCTGGGAGGTTAGGTGGCCTCCCAGCACTCAGAGTGATGGGACTTGCTAACTGGAACGAGCTTCGAGGATGGTGCAATCTAGGGGCCATTCACTGGGGTAAACAAAAGAAGCTCCGGCGGTGGATGGGGGAGGTTTATGAAAAATGAAGTTGTCCCTGCCTGCCTGGGATCTCCCTCATCTAGCAGTACGCTGCCTGTGTTTGCACTTTTCACAAGCTCCACAGGGTCTGGGGAGTGCAGAACGCTGGTCTGGTAAGACCGTCTCTCTTCAGAGATCAGGTCACCTGGCTTCTCATTGTCTGCACAATGATTTTTAAGGCCCTGGGTGTCCTGGCTCCTGGCTGTCAGCCTTCACCAGTATCTCATCTTGCCCATTCATCTTCCGGCTACATTCCAGAAACACTGGCCTCCTCCCTGTCGATGCACATACGTGGTCTCTCCTGGTTAACAGCTTTCTGATTCTCAGTCCAGGGGGGTCTTTCCTATTAGAGCACAGTTGCTTTAGGCTGGGCCCTAACCCTCCTCTCTCTCTCTCTCTCTCTCACACGTGCGCGCGCACACACACACACACACACGCACAGGCACACATATGGATGGGACTGGAGACAGTTGCTTTTTTTTTTTTTTTGGCAGAACATGTGGATACCCAGAGGCCTCTTAACTACAGAAGATATCTGGGCTCTGGCTGGACATGACCCTGGCTGCTATTTCCTACTCTAGGGCGGAGTCTCTGAGTGTTGTTGGATGGAAGACCTAGCTGTGCTATTTTGATAAGGTTATGAGGACCTGGCCTACTTTCTAGGTCCCCAAGCACTTTAGTTCAGGAAGGGGAGGGGAGTGTGGATTCTAGAGGGTATGGCAGTTGTCTGTCACAGAGTGACAGAAGCCATCCCATCATTTTATAGCTGGGGACTGAGGTCCAAGAGGGGAAGGATTTGTCAAAGGACCAACAAATACTTTGGAGCACTACTAGGACTGGCTAGATCCTACATCTCCTGACTCCACATATAATGCTCTCCACTGCTCCCAGGGTGGGCCTTCTGACTTCTACTAGACTGATTTCACTGGTCCGCGGTGAGCAAGAAAAGCAAGTACAGTGTGGGATAGTCTAAACATAGCTGTGAGGTTGCCCCCTTGTTCTCATCACCTCCTCTTCACTGTGTTGATAAGGGAGGGATTTTTACCCCTGGGTTTTGGAGATGGCTGAACACATGACCCCTGACACCAGACAGA